CCCCCCCGGCGATTCCCACGCCCGCACCCCTCAGGCCGAGAGCCGCCAGAGCTGAGGCGCACCCACAACACAGCACACACATCACACAGACTGTCCATGATGCGCACGAAAAGGAAACTTTTCCCACTGACGCCCCTGCCACGTGTACATACATCGCATCGTCGGCATACTCGACATGCACCCCTCACCGGCGACTCTCAAGCCCTCACCCCTTGGGCTCGAAGAACGCCGGAGCTGACGACGAAAAGCCTCGACTCATCAAGAGAATGAAATGTGATGTAGAAAGCAGGGCTACAAGAACCTCGTCTCTCCACTGCCTACAGGGACACCTCCTTCTGATGCCCTTCGTCATCCCCCTCGTCAACAATTCATGAGAACATGGTGATACATACGTTGTGGAAAAAGTGGGGGTGTGGCATGCGGGAAAAGGGGCTTAAACCAGTGAGTAGTAGAACCAGTGAGTAGTAGCAGGCTACTGTGCCACGTGGGGTCTCTTGACGAGGCAGTTGCGGAATCCCCCCTCAATCTCAGCACGGTCGAGGTTTCTGCACACACAACACATTCATTGCGGTCACCCTCCGCGGACCCGATACGAGGAGAACTGACCTGCCGATGAAGACCAGCTTGCACGAACGGGTCTCGGATGGCTTCCACTCGTCCTGTGGGATGCCGCTGCAAGATGGTGACATGACAGGGGGAGCATGATCGATAAATGAGCAGCAAGCGATGTCCGTAGTCACCTGAAGAGCATGTGGATTCCCTGGAACACGAACTTCGAGTCTTGGCCTTCCACGGCCAGCACTCCCTTCATGCTGCACGCACGGGCCAGAGTGACAGCCACTTATGCCTTCCTGTGTCAAACCTCTTGGCCTACCGGAAGATATCTACGCCCTTGTTCTTCAGGATGTGCCCGAGCCAGGCGTTCAGTTTGCCCTCATCCACCTCGCCGACCAGGTCGATACCGATGCTCGTCACCGACTCGTCGTGCTGCGTGCACGCACACCGACCGGCCCACGTGACGTGACACGTGTACATGCATGTATGTGTGCACCATGCCGGTGGGGCACGTACTCATCTCACCGACCTGGTGCTCCTGGCCATCCTTCAGAAACTCACTGTCCATATCGAGGACCTGGGGGACACGGATGAGGGGGACAGTAAAGTGATCGACCCACGTGTGAGTGAGCACCTTGTCGAGCGAGAACGCACGGATGCCGAGGATGCCGTTGATAGTGCTCTCCAGGTTAGTGGCCACGTTGAGCGTCGTCTTGACGATTGGAGCGAAGTTGTTGATGGCGCGAATTCTCTCCTCGACCTGGGACAGATACGGGGCATCGACGAGGTCGATCTTGTTGAGCAAAATGCGGTCCGAAAACGCCAGCTGCACACACGCACACACATGTATTCCGCGGAGGCACGGGAGTGCAGCGAGCGATGGATGGATGCAGATTGGCGTACGCAGGTACCTGCTCGATGGCCTCGTTCTCTACGCCCTCAGGTTTCTCGTCGTCCAAGTGCTGGATGATGTGCTTGGCGTCGACGACGGTCTGCACACACCACACCACACCACACCACACCACACGAGGCAGAGGACACAGAGAGTGCAGGTCAGGTGTGGTGCGATCAGTTTCTTTGCGTCGCCTCACCACTATACCGTCCAGACGAATTCTCGCCTGGATGTAGTCGTCGACCTGAGTGTTTTAAGTAAGGACATGGGATGTATGGATGGGGCACACCACACGTGTGGACGAGTGAGACGGATATGCATATATGCGTACGAAGAACGTCTGAGCAACAGGTGCGGGATCCGCCAGGCCTGATGGATGGCAGAGACCAGTAGGGTTGTTGACGCATGCCCACTGTCCACTCCGTTCTCGCGGAAAGTGTCGTACGTACCTGTGGTCTCTATCAGGATGTGGTCGACACGCCCATCGGCGCGGCCGCTGCAGACACACAGAAGACGGACCAGGTGCCCTCGGCGTGAATTATTAGTCGTTCCACGGCTCCAATGCAGGTACCTCTTGAGGATCTTCTTGAGCCCCTCCACCAGGTCGCCACGGACTGTGCAGCAGATGCAGCCATTGTTCCTGACGCACGCACAGCACGGGGCAAGAGGCGGGTGAGGGGAGGACATACATGAGTCGAGTGGGTGGTGGGATGCGTACGCACATTTCTATGATCGTCTCCTCCTCCTTGAGGGCTTTCGTCACGAGGGCGTCATCGATGCCAACCTCGCCGAACTCGTTCTGTTCCATACACACACCGCACAACAAACATGCCCCACACGCGCATGACTCGACGCTGTGGTTTCTCTCCGCACCTCGATGATAGCGATGCGCTTGTCGCCCTTCCAGTCGCGCAGGATATGGTTGAGCTGCATTGCATGGAGGAGAACACACGTATTCATCGCAAACTCTTGCGCAAGCCACACCCCCAACATAGCATAGCTACCAGTGTCGTCTTGCCACTGCCCAGGAAGCCTTGGATGACGATGCGCACGATTGACATCAAGTGAACGAAAGGGAAAGTGGAGAGACGTGTGTTTGTGCTTGTGTTTGTGTGCATTCCTCACGCACCTGTCAGCACAGTGGCTGGGATCTTGGCGTCCTCCTGCTGCGAGTAGCTCTTGCCCTCCATCGCCATGACTTCCTCGGTCTCCTGACGCAGCTCCTTGGCACGCTCATGATCGGGTGCGACCGAGATGACGGCATCCAGCTCGAGCTTAGCCCTCTTGTGAGCACCGAGGTTGCTGAGCACCTCCGACCGCGTGAGGAACAGCGGCACGAGCTCGGATACCACCTTGGCGTCGCCGGTCTGCTGGCGCGCGGCGTCCAGGAACTTCTTTGGGTCTGCGCAAAAGGCAAACAAACACGACATGCGACGGGCGACCGACGCCGCTCACTCGTCAAGCTTACTTACCGCGCATGGAAATGGACTCCAAGCCCAAGGATGCAGCGTACATGTCGATGGCTTTGTTGATGATCTGGATGGCCTGATATCAGGGGAGGGGGGGAGGGCAGACAGGGTGCATGAAGGAGGTGCAGAGGGGAACGACCCGCAGTACGTACGTACCATGAAGTAGTCGTTGTCCACCTTGAGGACCGCCTCCGCTGCCGCGGCAAGATCCTTCCACGAGGTGGCTAGATGCAGACACAGACAGACAGACAGACAGAGCACATCCGTCCGTCCCAAATAGATTGCCTCCCCTCCCCTCCCCTCCTCCGTGTGTTGTGCTGTGTACATATACCCGAGCCTGCAACACATCACAACACAACACAACGCATCACAACACGACACAACACAACACCAGCGGCGTTGGCGGCCTGCCTGCGTCCTGTGTGTGTGTCTGTGTGTCCCAGCCCCCCGGTGACCCATTCACTCACTTGACAGGCGGTCCATCATCTCCCTGACTCTGCTCATCATGCTGTTGGCGAAACCTGACATGGTGGAGAAGTTGCCCAAAACCAGGGGTGTGACAACTCAGAGGGAGGGCAGGGACGGCTGGGGGAACGATCTATATTCAAGCAGCAGCAGCAGCGGTTACAGGGAGCTCTAGGCGGCCTGACATGGGGTTTGCAACCGTTACGGACACGAGTCTCGTTAAACACACTAACCAACCAACCGTCTCTGGAGATGGCTTTGAGCTGAACATCGATGACCAGCGGCTCACAATTCCTGAGCTGGATGGACTATCTGAGCGATGCAATGCATTGCACGTCTGAGGGCATTTTTCTGGCCACGCCCTCGGTGGCGGTTTGACGCATAACGGGGGTGAGGGAAAAAGGCGAGTGTCACCCAGAAAACATGAAATCTATGGACAATGAAGTCCGTCTCGGAGGCGGCCATCTTTAGCACGCGAGTCCCTTCCTCCCCCCACTGCTCCAAAAACGACTGCATCGATGCAACCATCACGTACGTATGAACCAAGTCCGCCCCCGTTGCCGTGCGTCCTTCAAAATTCAAATATCGACCTCTCTCACATTCTCATCAGCCACTGCATGCACCCTCCTCTCTCTGTGCCTGGCCTCCAGCCAAACACACACACAACAGTGACGGATCCACCGATGCAACGCCCCTGGCACGTACTTTCATCGCGCACACCCCTGGCACGTGTACGTTCATCGCATGGTCGGCACAAGTGGACATGCACCCCTCCCCGGCGATTCCCACGCCCGCACCCCTTCGGGCCGAAAACCGCCATGATGGACAATGCACTCCTCACCCAATGACATCGCATGGTCGGCACACTCGACATGCACACACACCCCGGCGACTCTCAAGCCCTCACCCCTTCAGGCTGAGGAACCCCGGAGCGCTGACGACGAAAAGCCTCGACTCATCAAAAGAATGAAATGCCATGTAAAAAGGAGGGCTACAAGCACCTCGTCTCTCCACTGCCTACACGGACACCTCCTTTTGCTGCCCCTCGTCATCACCCTCGTCCTCCTCCTCAATCACCAGCTGCAGCGGCGGAATGTGCGCCACCCACGGATCTTCGTATTCGTCTTCGGCCGAGTCGAGCTTTTTCATGAACAGCGTCACGTCGCCTTGCTTCTCCATGTACTGCGCAGATAAAGCAACCACAGTTGAACCACAGTGTCAGACCTCTATCCGTTCGATTTTCGGACCTGCTCAAACTCCGCGTCGGTCAACAGGCACTCGTCCAGAGCCGCTTCCAGCGCTGCAGACAAGAGAGCAGCTATACATTTGCCACAAAGACGCTTCTATCCCCACTGCACACCTTCTTTGTGGCCGGTGAGCTGCCCGATGAAGACAATCTCCTGGCGCTTGTCGCCGACCCTGTCTTCGAAGTCCTTTTGGATCTCGGCGCGCACCTTCTCGCGTATCTCGCCCTCCAAGAAGGCGGTGGGCCACATCTCCTGCAAAAACACACAGACAGACAGACAGACAGACAGCGAGTGAACGAATCGGCGACTCGACTGTTGTGTCTGCGTCTGATGGACCTCGGGGGTATCGCAGAGCCATATGCCGGCCGACGTCATCGCGAGGTAGAGACCCGCCTGCGACCACATGATGGAATCCGGGCGGCTGAAGAAAGGTTAACCCCGCAAACCACTCATAGACTGGATGTGACTCCCTCAGCCAACCCACCCATCCTTCCTTCCTTCCCTCTTGTCCGAACCTCGCAAGCCAGGCGTAGCCCTTGGACCGCAAAACGGGCGCCAAGACGCCCTTCTTGCGGTTGGCCATGGTCTCGCGCACCCAATCCAGGTCCTCCATCTTCACCGTCGACTCCTTCTCCTTCTCCTTCTCGTCGCTCGTGCGCCCATCTCCACCCTCATCGCCTTGGTTGTTCTCGTCATCATCATCGTGCTCCTGAACGACCTGAAACGCGCAAACGGTTCAGTTTTCGATTTCTTCGCGCCGCATTCACTCACCCAGTGTTTGCTGAGGAGCTCGTGCAGCCGGAAGGGATGGAAGGGCTTGCGGCGTTGGTAGACGAAGGACCACACGCCGTACACGTCGCTCTCGGACTTCAACTTCTCGGGCTCGCGAATGGACTGCAGCCACCCCGCGGCATTGGACGCACGGTCCCAGTCGAACAGGTGCGTGTTGACGATCTCCGAGGGCGAAACCACGCTGTGCACCGTCGGCAGAACCTTCGCCTTGCTGCGTGAAGGGAAGCAAGCAGGGTCGATGTGCCAATCGCTTTTCTCGATAGGGGAATTGGGTGGGCATGGGGGATGCTTACGGGTTGAGGGTGCGGATGGTCTTCTCGATGCCAGCCAACCGGGCTTCACCGCCGGCCGTCTTGAGGAGGTCTGAAGGCAAAGACACGCAGCGTCGGGTGGGCAGCGTGCCTGGACAGACCTGTGCGTGGCGTGCGGTGTACGTACCCGTCTTGTTGAGGAGGATCACGTCGGCGAACTCGATTTGCTCGATGAGCAGCTGGCTCAGCGGGCGGTCGTCGTCGCCCTTGCACGCATCGTCGCCCCCCTCGTTAACCAACTCGGACGTCTGCATAACCAGCTCGAAGTTGCTGCAAACAAACAAGGCATAAAGGCACCAGTCGGAGGGAATACGCAACGGTTGCACAAATACAAATGAATGCTTGGGTGCTTGCCTCGCGTCGACGACTGTCACGCAGGTGTCCAGCCGCGATACATCACGCAGCTTCTTGAGTTTTTCCAGCCCACTCTTTTCCTCATCGGTCATCTCGCCGTTGGTGTGGTCGTGCCCGTTGGCGTGCCCGTGGACGTGCTCCTCGCTCAGATCCATTGCCTAAACATAGAGACAAAGCAAGCCATTCAATCAACACCGATCTGGTGCTCTCTGTTGTGGTTTGCCTGGCTCGTGATTTCTTTCGCCGCTGCATGCGTACCCAGGTTTCCGCGACTTGCATGGGCTCGCTGATGCCGGTCGACTCCACGAGCAGGTAGTCCAGCGATCCGTCCTTGGCAAGCTCCACTACCGCGTCCAAGAGGTCGTCGCGAAGCGTACAGCAGATGCACCCTGCAGGCAAAAGGTCAGCCCTCACGCGAAGGCAAAGTCAGACAAATCCGAGGTATGAGCGCGTCTCCTCCATGTCCCCGTACCGTTCTGCATCTGCACGAGCTTCTCCTCGCGTTGGATCAGCGACGACTTCTCCAGCATCATGCCGTCGATGTTGAGCTTAGCCATGTCGTTGACAATCAGGCCGCACTTCAAGCCCTCTTTGGCAGTGAGGATGTGCTTCAGCAAGGTGGTCTTGCCGGAGCCGAGGAAGCCCGAAAGGATGGTCACCGGCAACATTGGACGAGCCGCAGCGGGGGAGTCAGTGGTGCAGGCACTTGTGCAGGCATCCATTTTTGCCGTCTCCAGTGGGAGCTGTCGTCTGTGCAGCCTCTGGGAGCAGCCACACCTGCGCCTAGGGTATCCCCTGAAACATCTGCCTGCCAGGCGCGACGTGATCGCATGCTGACTTTGTTTGCGTTTCTGCTGCTCTCACCCTGCTGTCGTACGCGTCTTACGGCGTGCGAGTGGCTCCCGTCGGCAAGACAGCCGTAGAGGCGCACATCACTCCCTCCGCATCTGATCATCGCGGAGATCTGAGCAGTGTTGTTGTGTGAGGGGATTGATCAACAAGCAATAGGTCTGCGTTGTCGTCTGTCTGCTGCACAAACCTCGTCGACCCGCAAGTAAGCACGAGCTCCCAGCACTCCACGACCTTCACGCTCGCTGTTTGTTGCTCCCCTCTCTCAGATCTTCAGAAACGCGATGGTGATGATGTCGGCACCATCGCTGCTGCTTGCGTGCTTCCTGATGGTCCAGATGGCCAGCGGCTCTTTGGTTGCTTTCCATCCTCATCGTGCCCATGCGGCAAAGGCGCGGGCGAGGGCGATGCCTGGGTCACGGCGGCGATCTCGGCCCTCTTCTCACATGAGGATGAGTCAAGAAGGTGAGTGAGCGACCAAGGGGGAAGAGCAGACGAGCAACATTACCCCTCACACACCGCTTTGTGTTGTCTGCGCATGTGTGTGTCAAATGCAGGTGCGCTACGTGTGACGCCTGACGGCTTGGTGCCCCTCAAAGACCTCAACAAGCTGTCGCTCGAAAAACAGTCGCTCAGAGAACAGTCAACGTCGCCGTTGCCGGAGCTCGTGCCTTCAATCAATCTAGGAAGCCTCGACCCCACTTACTTCATTGGTGACAAGGATCTCGACGAAGTGGTCAGCGACATCATGCGGTGCTATAAGGAGGACGACAGCATCCTTGCGTCTTCAGATCGGATTCCGCCCATGTCGTAAGCAACAAAGGGCCCAGAACACACACACACACACACACACACATGCACACACGTCTCTTCTCTCTCCTGTTACAATGCGTGTGCTTGCAGACTTACCCGCCACCCCCGCGGAGGCAAGACCCGGTTTCTGAAGGAGATTGGGCGCCGGCTCCGCGACAAGCAGAAAGTGCCCTCCATCAGAATCGCTTTCAACGATCGGACTGGGAAACAGGACGTGGAGGAGACCCTATCGCTGAAACAGCGGCTGCTCAAGCGAATCGGCTGGTCGGTGGCCACCGATGAGACGCGCTCTCTTGTCGGCAACAACTTCAAGCGATGGATGGAGACAGTGGACGTGCCGGAGAGCACGATAGAGGAGTGGCTGGGTGACGGCGGCTGTGTGCTCCTCATCGATGAGATGAACAGTAAGTGGGTGGGTGACACCATGAATGCGCGAATGCCGGTATGGCGTGTGTTTTGTTTGTGTTGTGTTGTGTTGTGCTGTGTTGTGTTGTGTGTGTGTGTGTGTGTGTGTGCGTGTGTCAGAGCTCATTACCGATGCTATTCGAGGAGGCACCGAGGAGACCGACCTGGCCGCCTTTCTGAAATGCTACTTCATCGACAAGGCCAACAGATACCTCGTCCTCTCCAGTCACACCACGACGACGGGCGACAAACTGTCGACGTTCATTACGTCTCCGAGTGATCGCGACGTCATTCGGCCTCGTCTGCCCGTGATCACCAGCCCAGAAGAGGTGGAAAAGCTCGGCGTGGACGCCATAAACGAGGGGGCGCTCTGTTACCTGGGCCTGACGCCTGCCCTGGTCTATACGGTCTACAACCTCAGGTCTGGTTATGTCCGCAATGCCGTAGAAAGCGCTTCCGCAGACTCAGGGGCCCGCCTCTCAACATGCGCTCTCTACGCGCCGTTATCGCGACAGCCATCACGGGAGAGGCGCCGGCTAATCTGGGTGATCTGGGGGATTGGGAGCAGTCTCTCGACGGCTTCGACCCAGAGGGCGACAGTGGGTCAGTGTACGTCTGGCCACCGTGCTACCTGGTTGAAGCCTACGAGATGCTTGCTGACAGTGAGATACCTGACATAGACCCCAATGTCGCCAGCGGCGTGCGCTTCTTTGCTGACAGCTTGCGGCAGCTGATTGAGGCCGACGAGGGCTCGGGGAAGCAGTGGGAGGGGGTCTGCGCTGCAGCCTTCATTCAGCGGATGCTTGAGAGCCATTTTCTGTCGGAGGGCCTCATCACACAAGGCAAGCTCACTCCTGGAGCCGAGGAGCTTGTACTAGAGGCCGTGCTGGAGGTATGGATGAATGGAGGATGGACAATGACTGCAACACTTCTGTGTATATGTAAACATATGTACTTCGCTGTTTGGTAGGGCTGCCGATTTGGCGGCGTTTTTCAGCCCCGTTCGGATGACCTCATCAAGAAGGACAACTCCGCCGACTTCGAGCGCCTTCGCGAGAGGTTTCTGCGGTGGTTGGAGATCGGGGACAGGCCAGCTCTCAAGAAGGGCCGTACGGCTTTCTTCGTGAAGCCGAAAATCGCCCTCTTCCCCAAATACGACTTTTTTATCTTCATTGTGGAAGACGGCACGGTCGTGGACATCTACGGCTACCAGTGCACGACGAGCCCTAGTAAGACGCCTGACAGCACGGAGACGGACGCAGAGTCCGACTTTGCGAACCAGTCATTTTGGCTCATTGGCAAGGCCGGAGATGACAGGAAGGAGTCGCGGGGGTGGACCATTCCTTCTCAAGATGCGTTCGGGTGTGTGGCTGGCTTCTCGCTGCGTCACACATGCCCTCCCTCCCTGCTGTTCGACGTAAACAAGTTGGACTGAGGACAACCTGGCGCACGTACCTGGTGGACAGACAGTCGTAGGGAGAGAGGCGTGTGCGGTGCAGGGGGGCCCTTGTGTGTGTGTGTGAAGGTTCTTACGTGGAAGCTGGCATCTCAAAAGTCATATGTCGTTTGTTTGCTGCCCCTGCGCTCACAGTGAGTGAGACGAGCACACTGGTCTTATGCCTATAGCCAACCCAGTGTCTCTGTAGTAGATTTTCCACTCAGCATTCAGCATTAGGATTGGCAATTGGGAGGCGAGAGGGGACACCCATTGGGTGTGTGTGTGTGCGGATTTCCTTTCGTTTTCTGCATGTTCTTTGTGAATTGACCGCATCGACCGGACCTGCATCCATTCAGACGGTCTTCCATTGGCTTCAATTGGTCATGCCACGCTGTTTGACTCGTGCCAGGGACCGCCATCTCTGGTGCTGTCGCAAGATCGGCCGGAATACCCTTTATACGTAAACCGAACCCTGTCAATCGTCAGGCAGGCCACACAACACGCTGCCAGCATGCTCACACAAGCTGTCGAGCGCAGCACGTGACCTCAGGGGACACACACACATGCACACAGCCGGCCGACATCAGCAGATTTGAGTGCAGACAGACAGACAGAGAGACAGACAAACAGACACACAGACACACAAACATGCAGCGCTGCTAGAGGGGCCGTACAAAAACAGCATACAGGCAGGCAGGCAGGCACCAAACCAAGGAGAGGAATCGTCCGTCAATCCCATCCACGTAAGTACGCTATGTATGCGATGACATTCATTCATTCAGTGAATCACGTGAGCCGCTGCGCGTGTGGTGCCCTTCGCACACCACCCACTCGACGCGACCTTCCAGCTCACATGCATTGCATGCTTAACACATAAAGCCAGAGAGAGAGAAAAAGAGGAGACAGAGAGAGAGAGAGAGAGACCGAGCTCACGCCACGGCCATCGTGCATTGGTTCATTCATTCATTCACTGGTTGTCCTCTGACAGACAGACAGACACAAATGCCTCGTGTGAGTGAGAAACAACCAAACAGCCAAGCTTTAACAGCCAAGCTTAAGCAGCCGAAAGGGCAGTCAGGCAGGCAAGCAGTTGGGCAGAGAGGCAAGCCGAGAGAAGCAGACAGACAGACAGACAGAGCGACAGAGCACGCAAATGGGCTGCCATGCCGACGATCGCCCGCCCATGTATGCCGGCCGGCCCCAGTGAATGAGTCAGTCGATGGATAAATAAAGGCCATCGGTCATTTATCATCCAACGCAACACGCAATATGAGCGTCAGTCATCCCGCCACTGAAGAAAGAAGTATGTGTACACACCCACCCGCTCCCTCATGTAGACAGACACCCACAGACAGGAAGGACACCCAGCCGCCCAGCCAGCCAGCCAGCTTCTCGCATCCATGCTTCTCGGGAGGGAAGCTTCTCCATCGGCTGGCTGGGCTGGGTGCCATCAAAAGAAGCGCTTCTTTGGCCTCACACACACACGCACACACACCGACACCGACACGCACACACACGCACACCCAAATGACCAGCAGGCAGGCAGGCAGACATGACAGACAGACACGCAGGCAGACATGGACATAGACGTACGGATGTATGCAGCGCCTTGCTTGCACAAAAAACCTTTTCTCTTCCCCCCCGCGCGGAGAGGAAGCCAGACACACACGCACACCCCCTCCCCTCATCCGCCCGTTCATCTTCATCATCTCATCAAGGCAGGTACGCGTCGAGACATTTGAGCACGTCGTCCTGTGCCAGGTGGTCGCCAGCAATGCCGTGGTTCTGGACGTAGCCGTCAGGGCGGATGAGAAAGAAGGCACCAGGCTTGGAGGGGATGCCGATGGGCAGACGGAAGTGCTTGTGAACCTCACCTGAGTGACAAAGGGTTAGAGTGGAGGCGAGAGTGGAGGCGACGGAGGGTGTTGACTGGTCGAAGGATGGGTGGACGTGCGTATGCCGCAGACTGACCTTCGTAGTCGAATCCTAGGTCCAGCTCCATCGACGTAAATGGCTTGCCCATCCTGAGAAACCAGACAGACAGACAGACGGACGCCTCACCCCTCTGTGTCTGTCTGTCTGTCTGTCTGTGTGTGGCTTACACGTTAGAGAATTTGGTCTTCATGTGTTGGAGCACAGCGGCGAGTGCGTCCTCCTCCCCGCTGCTTTGGCTCTGGCCCTTGACCGAGAGCGAGTAGGGCAGAATGGTCGCCTTGCCCGTCGTCAGCACAACCATCGTCCGCACACCCGCCCATCGCGACTGCAAACACGCACACACACACGTGGATGGATGGATGGATGGTGACTCATAGACGGAAGTGCTCACTTGTGTCGGTGAGCCGAGCTTTTTGACGACGTCGCCGGCCAGACGGACCAACCACATGATTGCACGACCCACTGCACAGAAACACAACACATACACTCACACCGCATGTGCGCCTGTGTGTGTGTGTGTGTGTAGTTCCTGAGCACATCCCTCTCTCTTTCTCTGTGTGTGTGTGTTTGTCTTGGGTGGGTGGGTGGAGGGCTGACTCACTGATGGTTTCCTTCGACGTAGGTGGCTCTGAGCAGCCCATCACCTCCAGGCAGCTGCACACGGCCGACGCTCGTGCGGAGCCGCCATCGTCCAATGACGGGATGCACACCGCCAGCAGCATCGTGTAGGCGGGCGAGGCCATCATCTGCACGGCACCACACGCACGCCCACATGAGCACACTGTGACTGACACACATTCATTGCCTACACGCTTTCACTGACCTGGTGCAGCCTGCATTTGCGTGTTGTCCCGCGATGGTCCACGACGGCCAGTCGGGCGTCTGGCGCCCTTTGACCCGGCTGCAAAGCTCCCCACACGAAGGAATCTCCCAGCGCCATGCTGCACAACACAACCACACAAAGACGCGCACAGACAAATGTATGCCGACGGACAGACACAGAGGAGAGGCTCCCCTCCCTCTCTCTCTCTGGGTGTGTGTGGGG